ACCAATGCCTCGACCAATGAGCGAGGTAGCTCATGAGAAAATTAAGGTGAAGAATGATTGGCATGCCAAAAATGTTATTGCTCAAAAATCTAAGTCACAACAAACTTCATACTCTATTGGTAGAAACACTTCCTTCTAACCAAGATATTTGGGATTTGAACCCCGTTCCTACCATGCCCAAGTCTTGATCTTTTTCTCTCTATTTTCTCCACCATCCCAAATCCCCCACACATCGCTTCTCCGGCTAACCCTCTCCTAGGCGCGACTAGTCTCCAAGAACCTCGTTTTCTATTTTCTCTGCCCCTGACCTCTCCATGTGTCTCTCCCACACATGGCTAGTCTCCATGCACCCAACTCCCAAATCTTTTTCTCTATATTTCATCTCCCTCCCACCCCCACATGTCACTTCTCCTCACTACAACAAAAATGATTTTGCGAGACATTACCCAAACATTAACTCAAGTGATCACAAAATGCAACCGTCTAATAAAATACCCGATGATCTTTAGAGATGGTCACTTTATTTACGGAGGCGGTCACAATGCCCATCTCACAAAATGGTTTCATGGAGGCAAACAATTTAATCACACAAGCAATCAAATTTTTCCCATCTCCTAAATCGATTTACGAAGGCCACCTAAAATCAATTTATGGAGGAGGACCTCTTTAGGGGTCTACCACCAAAAATGGAGATGGTGGATCTCTTATGAGGACCGCCTCTATTAATCGTGGCCAAGGCCCAGGAAAAGCTCAAATCGGGCTTGTATAAAAGCAGCACTTAGGGTTTTTCTCTTAAATGTTTATGAAAACACCAATTCATATATAGTTGTCCATCACATGACAAAAATCTCAAGGTGTGTTTCTCTCGAACAAACACACACATGTATGTGTGTTTAATGCATAGGCAAAAATTTATGGTGAGGTGTATTTCTCCCGAACAAACACACATGTTTGTGTGTTTAAAGCATAAGGAAAAAATTAAGGTTAGATCCTGCCAAATGATTTTTTTGAATTATAGGAATTGATCCCCAGTCTTACTATAACCAAGAGTCTAAGACCAAAGGCAGTTTACATCATTCAGTGCTACTCCAACGCCCACATGTCACTTCTCCAGCTTTGTTACGATAAATGTGATCAAAGTGTTTCCATGCTTCACCATCGGCTGGATGCACCATCTTCTCAGGACTATATTGTTTTCCATTTTTGTGCCATGTCATCTGTTTCACGGATTCCTCGGTCACGAATAGCCATTGGATCCTCGGTAGGAACGGAAGGTGCCGTAAGATCTTCGCTATGACCGTCATCTGACTCTTCTGGCCATCACCAGAGTCTACCTCCAGGTACCTAGATGATTCACATTTTGGACAGTACTTTGCGTCCTTGTGTTCTTTCCAGAATAAGACACACCCCTTCGGACAAGCATGTATCTGCTCATACGGCATCTTAAGTGCCCGAAGGAGTTTCTGTGAATCGTACATGCTCTTTGGCAAAATGTGGCCCTCCAGAAGCAGGGTGCCAATCATGATCAACATCTTATCAAAGCCTTCCCGACTGATGTTTAACTCAGACTTCAACGCCATCAAGCATCCAATGGCGTCCAGTTTAGACACCGATGACCGGTCGTGAAGGGGTTTCTGAGCTGAGTCCATCATGTCGTAGATCGCCTATGTGGCTGCCTCCATCTCCTCCTTCTCTTGTCCTTCAGCAAAATGTGCTTGGTGAACATCATCTAACAAGTCTGCTACCCCGGCATCAGCATCAAAAGCTTCGACACGTGGTCCCACCACCTCCTCTCTCGTACGATGGGCTTAACCATGGTGGATCCACCGGGTGTAGCCCGACATATATCCATTCTTCACAATATGTTTACCCATGTTCGCTCTGTTTATCCTTCTCCTGTTTGCACATTTGGAGCAGGGACACAACTCTAGCAAATGTGCTTTAGAAGCCTTGACAAATGCCTGGTTCAAAAAAGCCTCGGTCTTGCGGAACCATTCAGCTGTGTACTCCCTCTGACTTTTCCAGCCCGTGTACATCCACTGACGGTCATCCATCCTCTAACATAAATACCAGCGAGTAATGCAACCATCAACTGCATCTACACGACTTTCATACTGTCTAATAGGTGAGGATAGGTCCTAATCCCACCCGCGGATACATAGATGAGGTTAGTTCCCATGGTCTGCTCCTATTCCAGACAGAATTTCGGCAACACCTCCCCGCTGTTGTCCCGATACACGTCCTGGCAGGGAGAGTGTGTATCTGGAGAACAACTAGGAGGTGATGCCGAAACCCTATCTAGGATCAGAGCAGACCATAGAAACTAACTCATCTACGCATCCGCGGACTATCCAAAAAACGTGGACAATCCAAAATAGTTACGGTCGTAGATATGCAAAGATATGCATACCACCAACCATATCTCTTTCAGACGGGAGACGCCTAACTTGGTTACGCAATCTACGACCATGGTACAGAAAAGAGGGGTTATACCTAGGGTGTTAGTGGAGTCAGGCTAGCGGGGCAGTGGCGAGTCGGTGCAGAGGCGAGGCGACGTGGTGTAGGCAGACCCGCAATGCCGAGGAAGACGATCGGAGTCGCTGAGGTGCTCTGGCTACACTCAGACAGTTCCTTCACCTGCATGAAAAACAAATAGATTTGGGTCAATTGAAAATTTCGGCAGCACCTCCCCTGCACGGGGAGGTTTCCAAAACCTGCAAAAAACAACGGCGCGAAGGCCGACATAGACAATGGCTCGAAGGCCGACAATCACAATGGCTCGAAGGCCGACAATGACAACAGCTCGAAGGCCAACAATCACAATGGCGCATGGATATACCTTGGCGGCAGGGGCATTGGCGGGACGGGAACACGGAGAAGGTGGCACCAGGAACGTAACGGGAAGGCAACGGCCGAGGCACCTCCTCCTCCCCTCTTCTCAGCTTCCTCCCCTTCTCCTCCTCCTTGCTCTCCTCCCCGGCCTCCTCCTTCTTCTCCTCCCCTTCCTCCTCCTTCCTTCTTCTCCTCCCCAGCCTCCTTCTCCCCCTCCTTCTTCCTCCTCTTCTTCTTCCTTCTTCTCCCCCTCCTTCTTCATCCTCTTCTTCCTTCTTTTCCCCCTCCTTCCTCCTCTTCTTCTTCCTTCTTCTCCCCCTCCTTCTTCCTCCTCTTCTTCTTCCTTCTTTTCCCCCTCCTTCCTCCTCTTCTTCTTCCTTCTTCTCCCTCCTCCTTCTTCTCCCCCTCCTTCTTCCTCCTCCCCGGCCGACCTCTTGCTTCTCACCTCCTCCTTCTTCTCCCCCTCCTTCTTCCTCCTCCCGGGCGCGAGCGAGCAAGGCGGCGCGAGGGATATTTGACGTGGCACGCTGGGCTGCCGGAGCGCTGGTGGGGCAGCGCTGGGACACTGGCGGGCATGGGAGACCTTGAGGGCAGGGGGGGAGGCGACTGTGGCAAGTCGGTGGGGAGGCGGGAGGCTGGGGTGGCGGGTCAGGGGGGTGGGCAGGCGGCGGCGGGATCGGGGCGGGGGAAATGGATAGGGTTTGGTTGGGTTTGGGCGGGTGGCTGGCCCAATTTAGTATTAGGGCCTTTGCGAGTCTTTGCGTGACAACGTGACAATTTATCTTATATCACATGTGGAGATGTCACGGTTTCTAAGCACCGTACGTGACAACGTGCACGAAACTTTTTCAAATTTTTACCATAGGCTCCACATGCGATATAACGATGTCTCCACAAGTTTCATGATTTTCGGAATCCGTTTGAATTTTATACAATTTAAAAACACTTTGGCCGCAAGTTTCTCCTCATGTTTCGTGAACAAGATGTTAAAAATTTCCGGCCAGTTCCTGGACACGGCCTCAAAAGACACTCACTAGCATGACTATCATTTTTTGAATCACTAGATTTCATTATTCGACGCACCTGCAGTTCAAACTTGAATTTTTCGAAAGAAATCAACGAAATGAAATTAATTAAAAAAATATAGTAAAAAGTCACAAAATTCCACCGAATTTGAACATGTAGTTTCATGCAATGTATAAAGGCTACAGAAAAAATCTGGAGGCAAAAAAGAAAAAAAAACAAAATACTTTGCCGAGTGCCTGACCTGGCACTCGGCAAAGGGGGTCTTTGCCGAGTGCCAGGGACAGGGCACTCGGCAAAGAAAATAGTTAAAAAAAATAAAAAAAATCTTTGCCGAGTGTCTAACGTCGGACACTCGGCAAAGGCTCACGGTGGGTGGCCGCCGTCACCTCGGTTAGTCTTTGCCGAGTGCTTGGCTTTGCCGAGTGCTTGGCTTTGCCGAGTGCCAGACTTTGCCGAGTGTTTGATGCTTGGCTTTGCCGAGTGCGGCATTTGGCAAAGTCTGGCTTTGCCGAGTGCCCGACATGTGGCACTCGGCAAAGCCGGAGACACTCGGCGAAGGCCCTGTTTCCGGTAGTGCTCCTGTTTGATATCAAACACACTCAGAAAACAAAACGCCCTCTTGGCCAACCTCCCAGCTCGCACAAAAAGAAAGTTCATACGCATGACCGAACTCCAACCAACACAGTAAAATAGAGCTACTAGGTTCTAAAACTCAAACTCTACACACCTCACCTCGACTGCAGTCTACTAGTTCTGCCTTCTCACACCTGACCCCGCTACACTCCCCTCCTCTAGTATATCTATCCCATCAGGGCCTCCAGATCTGCTAGAGACTAGGGCTTCCTGCCTTCCCTTCCATGGCGATGCAGGAGCAAGAGCGCTGTTCCCAGCCATTGGAGACAGCGAGGACGACCTCGACGAATTGCAGCTGCCTAGATTAGTTCCAATAACTGGGGAATCTCTGGCGACCATGCATGGAGACCGGTGACATGACCAACGGTGGTGCTACTGGCGAGGAGCAGCGGGGGCCAGAGTGACCCGACCTCGTCCGCTCATCCTCGCCTCGGGTGGCTCTGTTGTCCGTCGTCGACTCCAGTCTTGTCAGTGTCAGCTCCAACATTGCCAACCCCAAAAGCACAAGGATGAAGCCATGTCCCCTGCGCCGCGACGTCCCACAAGGCCATAAGTGGAGCTTCAAGCATCCAGTTCTCTCACTAGCGCCGGCCAAGAAGAAGGCCAGGCGGAAGAAGCGGGACAAGCCATGCGCGTTGTGTGTGGTGACCGAGACGCTGCTATGGAGGACTTGGCCGACCGATCGCCAGGTCATGCTCTGTAATGCCTGCGAGATCAAGGTGAGGACACCTGGGGTGGTGCTGCCCGAGCTGGTGTACCTCTCTCCTCTGGCGAGGGTCGGTCATCTACATGCTCCAGCATTCGTTGGTGCCCCACACGAAATCCAGCTAGTCTCGGACTCACCTGGGGCAGTGCACTCGAAGCAGGTGCAGCTGCACCTCCCTTCTCTGGTGATGACAATGATGACGGTCATCTTTGAGCTTCAGCAACCGCACCCACAAGAGATCCAGGAGTCAGAGTACCCACCTAATATCCGCATCCTAGACTCCATGATTGATGCCGACATCTAACTGCTGAAGAAGACGTCGCCCAGGCGGAAGTCTCCACCACCTCCTCCTCCTCCGATGGTAGAACCCACACCGGCGTCGAAGAGGGCTTAGCTTTAGAGAGAGAGGGAGAGGAATCCATCCGCACCGTTATCAAGCCAAGGTAGAGGACGTGAAATGCCACCAGAGTGCTCTGGGTCGCTATTCACATCCCTCGACCGGTTCAAATCCGCAATTGTGAGGAGGAATACGAAGAGCACCTCGCCCCAACTCCACGAACGGATCACCGGAGCGCCGTGCGGCACCAGTCGAAGACACCCAAATGGTGAGCAACCAGAATCCGCAGCTCACAGAACAACGTCGTGGTGCAAGAATAGGGGCTCTAGGACTGCCAGTGCCCATCCTAGAGGGGAGTATATCAACACAACCGAGTGTAGAAAAGGTAGGTAGGGTGTTGCCTGCACGGCTAGCGCGTGAGGCACGAGGAAGACAACACCACCCAACCTGAAACTGAAACTGGAGCCGGAAACGTGCGGCGAAGCCTAGGGGTCAGTGCCTTGCGAGATGAGATTCCGGAGAAAGCTAGAAGCGAGCCAGGAAACGCGGGAACAGATGGACCTAGTCGACGGCTTGGAGCCATGATTCTCCGTCCCCCTGAGGATGTGTATTGCTCACATGCTTTACGTGTGTGTAGGTATTTATATACCTTTGTCTCTTGGTTTTGGATCGGCATAGTGTTTTCCTAGTTCACCATTACACAATTATTATCCCTTTTTTGACACTATATATATACTACTTAAATGTCTATGAAATTGCCAATTCTCCATATCTCCATGCACGGCACACACACACACACACTATATATATATATATATATATATATATATATATATATATATATATATATATATATATATATATATATATATATATATATATATATAGTCGTCCCTCAGGACAAAAATCTCAAGGTGTATTTCTCTTGGACACACATGTATGTGTTTAATGCATAGGCAAAAATTAAGGTTATGTCCTAGCAAATGATTTTTTTTTTAGAATTATACGAATTGATCCCCAGTCTTACTATAGCCAGGACCAAAGGCAGTTTACATCATTCAGTGCTACTCCAACGCTCAAAGTGCAGGCCTTCCTGTCCGATCTCCAACACACTCAGGAAACAGAACGGCCTCCTGGCCAACCTCCCAGCACACACATCTGACCCCGCTCCAGTCCTACCTTCCCTAGTATTTCTATCCCATCACAACCTTCAGATTCCAAGACACCAAGATCTGCTAGAGCCTAGGGCTGCCTGCCTTGCCTTCTATGGTGATTCAGGAGCAAGGGCACTGTTCCCAGCCATTGGAGATGGTGAGGACGACCTCCGATGAACCGCAGCTGCCTAGATTAGGCTTGATAACAGGGGAATCTGCGGCGACCATGCATGAGACTGGTGACATGACCAGCGGTGGTGCTACTGGCGAGGAGGAGCGGGGGCCAGAGTGACCTCGACCTCGTCCGCTCATCCTCGCCTTGGGTGGCTCTGCTGCCCATCGTCGGCCCCAGTTTGGTCAGCGTCAGCTCCAACATTGCCAGCCTCCAATTCTAGCACAAGCCATGTTGCCATGTCCCCCACGCCGCGCTGTCCCACATCAAGCATCTCGTTCTGCCACTAGCGCCGGCCAAGAAGAAGGCCATGCGGAAGAGGACCGCGAAGAAGCAGGACAAGCCATGTGCGCTGTGTGGGGCGACCGAGACGCCGCTATGGTGGACTTGGCCGACCGACCGTCAGGTTATGCTCTGCAATGCCTGCGAGCTCCGGGTGAGGACGCCCGGGGTAGTGCTGCCCGAGCTGGTGTACCTCCCTCCTCTGGCGATGGTTGGTCATCTACGAGCTCCAGCATCCGAGATCCAGCCGGTCTCGGACTCACCCGGGGCAATGCTCCCGAAGCAGGTGCACCTGCACCTCCCTTCTCTGGCAATGAGGAGTCCACACCATTATCAGGCCGAGGCAGAGGAGGACGCGAAGTGCCGCCGGAGTGCTCTGGCCGGGTCACTATTCACATTCCTCGACTGGTTCCAATACGCCATTGTGAGGAGGAAGATGAAGAGCACCTCGCTCCAACTCCACGAACGGATCACCAGAGCACCGGACGGCACTAGACGGAGACACCCCAATGGTGAGCAATCAGAATCCGCAGCTCACAGAACAACCTCGCGGTGCGAGAATGGGGGGCTCTGGGATTGCCGGTGCCTATCCTAAAGGGGAGTATATTGACGCAGCTCGATCGTTCGTTCGCTTCTTTCTAGGTGGTCTCATCATCACTCGGCAAACTTTGGGCTTCATGCTTTACGCATGTGTAGCTATATATACAAAGAGTCAAAGACTATATATAGTCCTCCCTTAGTACAAAAATCTGAGTGTGTTACATATACACACGCTGATCAAATGAAATACTGAATTCTGAATCCTAACTCTGAATTCTGTCGAGCTGCCTGATAACCTCGGTTTTCATCTTAGTTATCATGAGCGCGACGGTTGCGTCTCCCCAGGCGGCGACTCCGCCGCCATCTCTCCCCTCTCCGGCGAGACCTTCGCAGCCCCCTACGGCGAGGGTGACGAGGGGGGCTCCCGGCTCCCCTCCGCTCATCCCGCTCCCGGGAGGTGGTGGTGGGAGCACGGCGCGGTGGCCACCGCGGGCATGTTTCCTCCCCCCACACGATGTGTTAGGGCCTCAAGTCCGGTGAGGTGCGCGAGAACGCCGCCGCGACCTCAGTCAAATCGAGAGTCAACCCAGAGAGAGAAGGGCCGGGGCGTCAGTGACCAGGTCCAAGGTGGGAGGTTTGGTGGACAGGTGGAGCCCTCTCGACCATGGACCCTGCGGAGCGGGCGCACACGGGTTAGCGAAGCACCCGTGACCCGCGACCCTGAGGTGGAAGATGACGTCTATGAGTTCTGGGGACAGCTGTGGTTTATCCCAAATCAGGATCAGAGTTTCCACCGCCGCCAGCCCATCGACGAGGGCAACCTCTGCTGGGTGCGGTGGGATCTCTGGAGGAAAAATTTTTACAGTAGACGATTTCTATCCGATTGGTCCTGGAGACGTGTGGGAGAGGGAGCCGCTGAAGCTGAAATTCGCTGAATCCTGTTGGGGCGAAGGGAGGAAGAGCTTCCTGCAGGTGATGAAGGACAGCATGGCGAATCGAGGAAGGGGGCGCGGGCCTCGACCAAGGGCGGAGGAAGAGTGGGAGGATTGGGGTACGGGGGGTTGGAATCAATTCCCCCCACATCCCTATCCCCCCCACCAGCATCAGCCGCCGCAGTTCTTCGGTCAGCCACCACCGTCGCCGTATGGGTACTACCCTAATCCTGCTCCTCAATCTCCACCACCGTACTTTGGTCAGCAGTTTCAGGGTCCCAGACCTAGAGGGGGTGGTAGACAGGGAGCTGGTCGAGGGAGACCTTAGATTGGGAGACAGCAGTTCAGAAATGAACAAGAGCCGAGGAAAGCTGAATCAGATCAGAACTCTGGCAACAATCAGAAGGTTGATATGGAAGTGGAAAAGGATGAAGCAGTGTCAGATGCTAAGGGCAAATCCATGGATGTAGTTTGCTTCAATTGTGGTGAAATAGGGCATTATAGTACTGCTTGTGGCAAAGCTAGATGCTGTTTTATCTGCAGGCTCGAGAATCATGTGGTGGATGATTGCCCAGAGTGGAAGAAAAACTATGCCGCAGCGCAGTTTTGTGGAAGTGCCTGTAAAGGTCTGGGTTTTTTCCACATTGATGTGGAACCTAGAGGAAACAGATTTAACCACTGGAAGGGCCTTGATAATTTTGGAATTCTCACAATTGAGCAAGGGGACATAAGTGAAGCTGACTTGATTGGTCATCTGAAGAGGTTGTTTGATGAAAAATGGGACTGGAAGTTGAGACCTGATGAGGAGTATACTTACATTGTTAGGTTCCCTCCACACAAAAGAGTTGAAAACTTGGTGATTGGAAAAATGTCTCTGTTTCCTTTAGAAGGATCTGATGCTGTAGCCTCAATCAAGCCCTGGAATGGGGATGTTGAGCCAATAAGTTCACTGGAGGAGGTGTGGATTCAGGTCAAAGGTATTCCACCAAAGTGGGCTGACTGGTGGACAATCAGAGATGTGGCCTCAAGTTTAGGACTGCTGTTGGAAGTTGATTGGACAGAACTCTTTGCTAGCTACTTTTCTACTGTCAGAATGAGGATCAAGTGTAAGAATCCAGCTAAAGTGCCTTTTGAAAGAGTGTATGAGCTTGGAGGTAACTGTTACATTATCTACTTCAAGACTGAAGGGGTGGAGCAAATAGGGAATCCAAAGGGCAGGGATGATGGTGGAAGTGATGGTAAAGAGGGTGATAAAGACACAGGTGATAAAGAAGGGGAGAAGAAAAATGAAGACAATGGAGAAGATGATGACTTAGATGAGGAGGATCTGCTGGATGATGACACAAGAGGACTGGAGGAATCTAAGAAGGATGGAGGAATGAGTAGAAGAACTCGTAACAAGCAAGATGGGCAAGCTGATAACAAAAAAGGGCACCAAAGGAGTGTGGGTAATGTTTCTCTGTCCCAGAAAAATACCAACTCGGTCAGGAGATCTCTGAATTTCCTGGAAGACAAAACTGGATGTGATGATGAACAAACCAAATGTACCAGCCTGCTTAGGGCTATGGAGTTAGATAGCTCTGATGATGAAGAGGATGGAATTCAGCAAGACCTGCTATCTAATCAAAGAGAGGATGAGGAGATGCTCACCTTACCAAAGGAATGGGTGGACCATTTAGTTTCCAAAAGATCAGAGGGGAACTTGGAGGGAATGATAGTAGACTCACAAGAAATTGAGTCTGGGGCAGAAGAGCTTATAAGTAAGGAAGATGAAGAGCAGCAGTGTACACAACCTTCTGTAGAGGAGGTGGCAAGATGCTTGAATCAGAATGTTGCAGAAGAGAGACCTAAGAAGAACAAAAACCAGGTGTGGGGGCCCATCTTGGCTCCAAGGAAAAGCAAAAGACTCTGTGAAGATGGGAAGTCTATGCTTCAGAAGGCTCAGGAGAACAAGAAGAAACAGAATCTAGATGGGTGTCAAGGTAAAAAATCTAAGACTCTTTGTCAGTTTGATTCTTCTACTTTATCTGATATTGCTAATGTGATAGGAGTAGTTGCTAAGGATCGACATCCTTTCAATCAAAATTTGTTAGATAGTATGATAGACTTAGACCAACAAAGAGGTGTCAACCATGAAAAGTTGTGCAAGTAGAGTGCTAAGGATAGAAAGGATCTTCTACAGGTAGATGATAGAAATAGAGAAAATAATGTTACTAGTGATCAAGTCTCAGAAGAATATTGTTGTATGAACTGTGAGGGAGGCAACCCCTCTAGTTCTAACGTACATAGTGCTGGGGACAGTTCAGTAGATGTGTCATCAGAGGGTGGCTACCCTAGCCTGATGTCTCATAATGAAGAACAAGATGATTTAGTAGATGAGTATGATAAGGATAAAATTAGAAATAAGGTAGGTAGAGCATATAAAAAAAGAAGTAAAAAATGAAAGGCATGTTCTGGAATATCAGGGGCTTGGGCCAACCTGGAAGAGTTCTTGCTCTAGCTAGTAAAATCAGAGAAAACCATTTAGATTTTGTAGGAGTGGTAGAGACTAAAAAGGATGAGTATTCCTCAAGTATACTTAGAGCTATTTCTGGCAATAATAGATTCAATTGGTGTTCTTTGAGATCTAAAGGCTCCGCAGGTGGTATTCTGATAGGAGCCAATGACAATTTGTTTACTATGTCTACCTGTGAGTTGTTGGAATTTTCTGCCAGTGTCATGTTGACAAATAAAATGTCAGGTTTTTCTTTTAAAGCTGTTGTAGTTTATGGTTCACCTTACGAAGAGGGTAAACAAGCTTTTCTAGAGGAGTTACATACTGTAATAGGAGCTTGGCAAGGCCCTATGATCATAGGAGGGGATTTTAATTTGGTCAGGTCTACTGCAGATAAAAGCAATGGCATTGTTAACTTTAAATGGGTAGATCTTTTTAATGATTGGGTTAATAGATGGGGCTTACTGGAGTTAGAGTTAAGAAATAAGAAGTATACTTGGACTAATAATCAGGAAAACCCTATCATGGCAAGATTAGATAGAGTTTTTATTTCTACGGATCTTGAGAGTGCCTTCCCCCTGGCTAGAGTGAAGGCATTGGACAAGATCCCAAGTGACCACAATCCTTTGTTGGTTGACTTAGGGGACAATGTCTACTATGGTAAAAAAAGATTCAGATTTGAGAAATGGTGGTCACAGGAGGAGTCTTTTCACAAGGTAGTTGAAAAAGCTTGGTCTGTACCTTGCTCTGAGAAAAGTGCTTTAGACACTTGGCAGTTTAGAGTTAAAACCTTTAGGAGACTAGTTAGGGGCTGGGCTGCCAATCAAATTGCCCTTTTGAATAAAACTAAGAAATGTCTATCACAGGAGTACAATGTTTTGGATCAGGCTTAGAGAGAGAGATCTAAATAAGGCTGAGTGGACTAGATATAAACAACTAGAAAATGAGCTAGAAAAGATTTGGAGAATTGAAGAGATTAAGATTAGACAGAGATCTAGAGAGAGGATATCCTAGAAGGTGATAGGAATACTGCCTATTTCCATGCTGTGGCTAATTATAGGAATAGGAAAAAAGAAGATTGATTATTTAGAAAGCCCTGTTGGTCATGTCTCTGATCAAAAGGGCATGATGGATATTGCTGTTAATTTTTATAAGACTCTCTTTGCTAAAGAAGATAGGGGTGATATTAAGCTGGGGGATGACTTCTGGGATGTCTCTCAAATGGTCAGTAGTGAAGAAAATGACTTTTTAGTTGCCTTTTTCTGAGAAAGAGATTCAAGAAGCTATTTTAGCTGCTATCCAGAAGGTGCCCTGGCCCTGATGGTTTGTCTTTTCTTTTTTACCAAAAATACTGGAACCTGATTAAAAAAAGATGTGGTTGCCATGTTCCATGAGTTCTATAAAGGGGACCTAGACATTTATAGATTAAATTTTGCTTTAATAACCTTAGTTCCTAAGGTAGAAAGTGCCTGTAATATGAAGCAGTTTAGGCCGATTAGTTTGCTTAACTGTAGCTTTAAAATGTTCTCTAAGCTCCTTACTATTAGATTAGGAAAAGTTGCTCAGAGATTAGTGGCCACTAATCAGAGTGCCTTTATTAAGGGAAGGTATATTCTAGAAAGTGTAGTAGTAGCCCATGAAGTAGTCCATAGTTTGCACACAAATAAGGGAAAAGGTGTTGTCCTGAAACTAGATTATGAAAAGGCTTACGATAGGGTTAGTTGGGATTTTCTCTTTGAGGTCTTAGAGTCCAGAGGTTTTTCAACAACTTGGGTTTCCTGGATTAAAAAATTAGTTATGGAGGGATCTTTAGGAGTTATAGTCAATGGTGAAGATAGTTCCTATTTCAAGTCTGGCAAGGGCCTCAGGCAAGGGGACCCTTTGTCTCCTTTACTGTTTAATCTAGTAGGAGATGCTTTCTCTAGGATGTTAGACAAAGCAGCCTCTTCAGGTTTGATTAGGGGGGTTTTGAATGATTTTAGACAAAATGAGATTATTTCACTACAATACGCAGATGATACGCTTTTGTTTAGTAGTGCTGATACTGCTCACATTGTAAATCTCAAACAAGTGCTAATGTGGTTTGAGCAAATCTCAGGGATGAGGGTGAACTTCCATAAGAGTGAGATCATTTCTCTAAACTTAGAGGTGGAAGAAACTCAATTAGTTGCTGACATCTTAAATTGCCCTATAGGTTCTTTTCCTTTAAAATACCTAGGAGTCCCTTTACATTATGATAAGCTGTCTAGAAATGATATACAACCTTTGGTAGATAAATTGCTTAGTAGGATTGCCGGTTGGAGAGGAAAGCTCTTGTCCTTAGCTGGTAGGGCCTTGTTAATCAAGTCTTGTCTTGCTAGCATACCTGTTTACTTACTCTCGTTTATTAAGTTCCCCAAATGGGCGATCAAAATTCTGAATACACAGATGAGTAACTGTCTTTGGAATGATCTAGAAAATGCCCACAAATTCCATTTGGCTAATTGGAATTTGGTGTCCAACTTGAAAGAATATGGAGGTTTGGGGCTACCTAATCTCAGGGACTTGAATGTCTGTTTGCTGGCCTCTTGGCTCAAGAGGTACAATCATGATAGAAATAAGTTGTGGACAGAAATTTTGAATTTTAAGTATAGTACAGATAAACCTAACATTATGCATTCTAGAACTGTAGGTGCATCTTCTTTTTTTCAAAGGAGTTATGTGGGCTTCACAGGCAGCCAAGTTAGGATACAAATGGGTGATTGGAGATGGGAAAAAAGTTAGATTTTGGGAAGATAATTGGCTTGGAGCTTCTAGTTTAGCCATTCAATATTGGAAGCTTTATAGACATGTAAATGAAAAGAACAAAGTAGTAGCTGATTTATGGGATGGGGATGTGCTGAAATGTACCTTTAATAGAATGGGAGATCAAACTATGCTGGACTTATGGGATGAAGTATGTCAAATAGCTTCTACCATTTCCTTTAATGATGAGGAAGATGCCATGGTCTGGCAATTTTCCTCTAGTGGTATCTATTCAGTCCAGTCTCTTTACAAAATAGTGAACTTCAGAGGCATCAAACCAGTGTTAGTGCATTCTCTTTGGGATATTAAGATTCCCCCGAGAGTACATTACTTCCTTTGGCTTTTAGGTAAAAATAGGACTCTTACTAGAGATAACCTAAGTAAAAGAAAAAAGGTCAAGGACCCAACCTGCCTTTTTTGCTCTGAGCAAGAAACAGTGCATCATCTATTTTTCGATTGTGCTGTAGCTAATCAGATGTGGACTGTTCTGTCCAGAATATGTGGACTGGAGTTAGGAAGGTCTTTGGAGTGCATTGGTAGATATTGGTTAAGTAACAAGAGAAATGGAGTTATTAATATTATTACTTCTGCTGCTTTATGGTGCCTCTGGAAACTTAGGAATGATTTATGTTTTCAGAGATTGGGGTGGAAGAGTATGGATATACTCCTTCACAGAATTGCCAAGACAATACAGAAGTGGGCTATCCTATGCCCGGTGGAAAAGAAAGAGGATCTGATGATGAAGGCAAACTTAATCAAGAAGGAAGCTGTGCAAGTGTGGTGGCTGAGCTGGAGATAGAAGATCAAGGCTGGAACCAGTGGAAGTTCAACTGGAGTCTGGACCAACCTCGTGAAATCTTCATCTGAATAGTGCCGGGGTCTGGAGCAAGACCCCCCAGAAGTTTGTTGCTTTGTTGCGTTAATCGTCTATGCAGTTGATGTTGGTAGTAAACAGTAGCTGATCGTTTTTCTCAGGTTCAGCTGGGTGCTGCCTGTCTATGTTTTTACTTAGATGCCTGGTTGGTTCGTTTTGGTATGCTGAACTGTAAACGTGAACAGATGACTCACACCCATCTGCTGCGATGTAATGTTCCTGGTCTATTGACCGTGGTTAATAGACAGGGGCCACGCCCTAAAATTCTAAAAAAAACATATACACACGCCACTTGCTTGGACTCATGCATGTGTTTAATGCATAGCCAAAAATTAAAGGTTATGTTCAGCCAAATGATTTTTTTAGAATTATAGGCATTGATCTCCGGTCTTAGTATAACCAGGACCAAATAAAGACAGTGACAGTGATAGTGACTTAGTATAACCAAGACCAAATAAAGGCAGTGACATTGGGCAGTGGGCAATCGGCAGTGATAGTGACATTGGGCAGTGACAGTGACACACGGCAAGGCGAAAGTCATGCACAATGTACCTTATCAGATCGGGCCCTCCTCTTTCCCCACCCTGAACCCAAATCCCCTCCTCCGATCCGACCCCGATCAAGCCACTACCTTGCCCAAAATTAACCCAGCCTCCACGTCCACCTTAGATCTCGTGACCCCTGCCGACGGTGACTACAGCGGATCTAGCAGCAAGACGGCTCCGGTGTCGGCGCCCATGGAGAAATTCAAGTCCAAGTCGAAGAAGGACGAAAACAACAACTGGACTAGGCCCACCTCCTGCAAGCGCAAGAAGAATGCAATGTCGCAGCCAACTGCTACGCAGCCCTGGCCTGGCGCCGCCGGCATCGAGGATTGCGTGGATTTAGAGTGAGGGAGAGGAATCCGTACATACTGTTATCAGGCCGAGGAAGAGGAGGATGCGAAGTGTCGACGCTGGCCAGTGCACAAGGTCTCTATTCATGTCCCTTGACCGGTTCC